GTGGGAGTACAAGAGGAAATACCCATTCCCTCTGGCAGTTTGACGTTTTGAGGGCGCATTTCAATGTCTAAAACCTTAAGGGTCCTCGATCAGCCAACCTGGGAGCTATGGTTTTGAGAAGTGTTCCTGGCAAATATTCTAAACATATATCTTAAGCCGGGCACTACCAAAGGTCATTGGCCGCTAAAATTCTATTGTGAACGCAACGCCACGACTCAACGGATTGTTTTTATGACAATTTGTTCAGACTGTCACCAGATGCTGTTGTGTTGCCTAACAATCACAAGGAGTGGAGTTGCATCGTACAACAGAGTGCCGGCTTCAAAGACCCCTTAATCCCCTGGGCCCCTGGCTTCAGCCAGCGAGGGATTATAAGTGTTACTCAATTCTCAATTGTATAGAAGTTTTCAATTATCTTTTTAAAATGAAATATTTGTCCATTTTATGCTCCACATAAAAACTATCTCTATTAATATTATAAAATTTGAAACAAGTATAAAATTACTAATTTTAAAAACTGAGAAGCGTTTAGCGCAGCGGTAGGAGATTGAACTTTGGCGCAAGAGCAACTGAATGCAAAACATGCAAATGCAATTCTTGCTTGTTTCCATGGAAACTTATCTAATTATTTTGCCCTTCAAATATGACATTTAACTGTTGGTACTGCCAACAAAAATACTCATGTGCACGAAAATAAGTTATATTTCATATTTAATCAAGCGTCCAATGTAAAACGTGGGCGGATAACAAACACAATGGCTTACCTTGGCAAACAGTTGCTGAGGAAACTCATCATCAAATTTATTGCTAAGCCCAAATCTGTTGGAAGAACACAATCAAAGTCATAATTATATGGACTCAAGAAAAATGTATCATTCATTCATTCATTATTGCCAATTACATCCTAACACATGCTATATATTTTAACCAACGCACAGTGTAATGAAAATAGTGCACTTAAGAATCATTTCATCCTCAAAAAATCTAAGACGAGCTATTTGTAATTCTGCACACCCCTGCTGCTGCAACAATGTAAATAAATATTTTGTAATATAAACTTATAGAACCTTACAGTAAATCTTAATTGGATATGCCGTAAAACATCCAATAACTCTGGGTAACTATTCTTTTTTTTAATTGTTTTTATTAGAGTAGTGGACAGAGGAGGAATTTTACCCCAGATAATTTTTTGCTTCCCCCTCCCACAGTTTGAAGAAAAAAAGAAAAAAAAAACTAAGATTTGTAGGGGAGAAAAAATGTTATATTTTCTACATATTAGTAGACTATCTACAGTATATAAAATTGATTAAATTAGGCCTCTGAAACCCCTAAAATGTCACATTTTTTGTGGGCTTCGCCCCCCCCCCTCGGACCACTTTCAACACATTTTGAGCGACACCCGACCACACCCACTTTGGGCCAGAATATTTCTCCCCCCTAAAATTTTACCTTGCCCCTCACTCACCTAAAATGCCAGTGCAACGAGTAACTGATAACCAACAACAGTGTTATGAATATGGTTATGCTAATATAAGGGTCTAATAGTACAGTAGACCTCAAGCTACTGATACTTACTATATAATATATCTATTCATCTACAGTACTAATACTAAATCTATTGTCTGTGACTGAGTTGACCTATGAACAATAAAATTCAATATGGATTGTTTATTTTATATGTTTAAAGTAAGCTACAGTATTAACTTTGAATTGAAAGACTGAGGAAACGTTCCAGACAATTAATAGTTTTTCCTAGACAATACTATTATTGTATAGATACTATAAGTAGGTCAGCAGCCAATTAAAGAATGTTTATAAAAAGTCTATAGTTATAATTCAGCCAGTGGTAGCTCCAGAAATTAGCCAACAGGGAATCCGACATGTCTGAACTAAGGGATCAACTAGAGTGTACGCGCCCCCCCCCACCCCTCCCCTGCCCACTAAACCCCTCCCCACTAAAATAAAATCTTGTACCATTCAAAAATGTATTGGAAAATTAATAACTTTGATCCTTTCTAAGGTTTGTCCCGATTACCAAATCTTCTTTAACAATAAACTTGTATTCCCATATGTATTCCCATGATGTGCCTATATATGGTCATGATGTGATGTCATCATGACCATATTTAGGCATGTCACAGGCTGGACAGGGTGAGCATTTCCATGAAAATGAATGTTTGAAAGGGTTTTTTTTCTGGATTTATCAGTCAATTAAACAATTATGATTCTAATCATTCATACGTTAAAATGTGATCTTCAACTACAGTATGACGAGACTTTTATTATACTTTGTTTTGCAAACCCGCTACTCGCCAATATTAATGATTTTGAATAAAACAAAAAACAAAAAAAAATCATTTTTGGCCAATTAGTGCAACCGCCGCCATAAAAAACTGGAAATTTAAAAATAAAATAAAAAAAGCTTTTCTTTATTTTTATTATGCCTGCCGCTGCATTGAAATCTCCAAAAATATAAAGATATGTACATTTCCTTCTCCTATATAAATTTAAAGCATTTAACCATCCAACCACTACACTGTTAACATTCAACAATAAAATTTTATTTTTATTTTCTCCTATGTCTGTCTGTTTTTGGCAAAACTATTTGCTAAATAAGAAAACAAAATTCTACTTTTTGCTGCCCTCCTCTGATGATCTTTAAGAAACATAAGCTGAGCAAAACAAGGTGTAAAAAAGTCTTGCCTAAATGTATATTCCCTTGACTATTGCTATTTTCTTGCTGAAAAAAATGAAAACATAATTTTGAAATTACATTTCTTCGTTACAGTATTGTATTTTTCCTCCATAAAAAAAAAGCGAGATAACAAATGATAACTCTAGATATATCTAGCTGTATGCACAATCCCATTATAATTAAATCACATTTATCTGCCACATTTTATGCTCCTTGCTCAAAAAGGAATAAATCAAAAATGCATTATAATGCACATCATATCAGGTCACGACCTAAATCTGACAGCTTTTACTAAATTCCCTACTTAAAAAACAGTCAGCTCCGTTCAGCTCTGCTGATGTGTAACATCACAACTATAAAGGTTATAGTTCTACATTACAGCCGTGCTTTAAATATGCGTTGAGGATATTTAAAAAATGTCAACCGATTTCAAAGAGGTTTAAGGGGGATTAAAACTAATTGCATCCATGTGTGAACCACAAAGATTATTTATATTACGTTACGCATCTGCTAGATGCAATAGCTAAAGTTTACGTGGATGACGCTTGAAGACGTCAACAGCACCTGAGATGTAAATGTTCTCATCTGGGAATTTCATCAACCAGGTAAATATAGGCATTTTTGTGATTCGTTGACGACTGGGTGAGTGTCTGCTCTTTCCGCATGCGCATGTTCAAGTTCACTAGCCTGCAACTCATCGTGGTGCGTGATACATAGGCTATTGTAAAGTTGTTTTCACTTTTTGCACATGAACCAAAAAAAGATCAAACAAAACATGCACTAATGAAAATTAATGCAAGATTTGGGATAGGAAAATAACATTGGGAGTTACAGTGATGACATCACGATTGACATTATTCAGTTATACATGTTTGAATTCATATCGTCAATAAAAAGGTATACTGTATTAAAAGGTAACCCAGCTTATACCAGGTCAGCTGATATTAAGGCCCATTTAAATATTAAAATGGAATAACAATAATAATAATAAGATGTTTTATAAACCAAGATTCATTAGGCTAGAGAGTGGAGATATTCAGTAATGAAAAAAAAGTAATGTGCTGTCAGAGGATTTGAACCCAGGACCCTGGGACTGGAAGGCAGGTATCTTAACCGCCAATTCAAGATTTATATCGTGCTTCATGTGAGACAGACTTGAGGCACAAACAATGAAGAGAAAATCAAAGAACTCAAATATGAATATGATTGACAGACCACATACCGTAAGTGAACACAGATACAGTAAAATATGTGCGAGATGTCATAAAATACAAATTGTACATACTTGTAGGCAAATCACAGGTGTTTGTAAATGAAGATCACAGGTGTTTGTAAATGAAAATCACAGGTGTTTGTTAAATAAATATTTGATAGTGTGACCAGAGCTTTAAAGCTCTGTCTGTACAAATTTTCCTTGACAAAAAACTGTTGTCCTGTATGCCCTTACTGTAATATAGTCACGATGTGCCTTATATGGTCATATGATTGTGATGTTACCATGACCATATTTAGGCATGTCACATGTTTTTGTCAAGTAAAATTTGACAGTGTGGACGGGACTTTAGCCTTGTCCACACACATTTTCTTTAATGAAAATCTGTTGTACAATATGTCCACACTGTATTCATGATATACTGTATAATGTCATTATATGACCATATTTAGGTATGTCACATGTTTTTGTCAAATAAAATTGATAATATATGGGCTTTAAACAATACATAAATTTATACACACATCATGTGTCTTAAAATTAAATAAATCACCAAGAAAGTGATCCTTTAGGAAACACGTCTTTAACAATTCTATTTTATTTACAAAAAAAAACAAAACCAGTATACGAAATGTATTTTTATGCATTTATTTCTAAAAAAAAAATACAGTCAATCAATCATTCAATAAATGAACATCACTTTAACTTTCAAGAATTATTTTTAATGTCTCGTAAATGGAGAAACACGACAATAGACCACTATAAAAGGTACTTACGACAAATTAAATTAAACAGAACTTAACGACGAAACAGCACTTAACTAAGGAAAAGTAATACACGGCTCATATTTTGTGCGATGTAATCTAGAGGATAATTAAGCGATGTGATATGTAACATTTCAAATACTCTGTCACACTAAATATAGGTTATCTGTTGACCTACAATGCTGGTTATGATGATTGCTGTTCGCTAGACAACTTCTCAAAAATTCAATTTGATGCATTTTATTGTGAGATATTAGTATATTAGCCTATGTCCCACTTTAAATGTGATAATTATGCCATCCAATAACATTAATAATAAGCAGGCATGACTACATGGTATGTAAATTCAAATGTGAGGTATCTTGGTAAAATTATGTTGTAGAACAATAAATATATTCAAGAAAAATGAAGTCATGTTTTAATGAAATGGTTTCAGGTTTTTTGATAAATTTGATAAATTTCATGATAGAAATGTTTTGAGTAAATTACTGTACTGTATACTAAGACTATTGTTCAGAATAAGCCAATTTGTAGCTTAAACTGCACATGCCTGTAAAAAAGGGCAATTGACATAAACAATTGAAAAACCAACAAACACATAATATGTACATTACTGTATAAAACATACTCCAAGTAAAGCAAGACTCGTCATTGTGATTCAAGATTATTTTATTGTCCAAAATACGGAAATTCTGTTTGGGTGTAACTAATATATTGAAGTCATATTTTTGATGAAATTAGGGTTTCAGTTTTTTTGGTTTTTTTTTTTGGTTTTTTTTTTAAATAAATTTGATAACTTTCATGATAGAAATGTTTTGATTAAATCATATCTAAGACTATTGTTCAATATTTTGATCTTTTATTAGATCATCATCAGGAATGATTCATGTATAAATATTGAATCACAATGACAAGTACTTTATTTGGAGTATGTTTTATACTAAGTTATCTAACACTTATCAGTGGACCTACTGGTTTCCAAACAATATATGTTTATGTCGATCGACCTTGGATGCAGGCATGTACATTTCAAACCACAAATTGAGTTTGGTAGAAAAAATTATTAGTTTATTTTTTAAGGTATTTTTTTTTTTTTTCAAAGTGTTTTCAGAAATTCAAAAATAACATACTAAACTTACTTAAAGCC